CCAGCAAGCAGATCGCCGCCGACAAGCAGTACAAGGGCATCATCGACTGCGTGGTGCGCATCCCCCGGGAGCAGGGCATCCTCTCCTTCTGGCGTGGCAACCTGGCCAATGTGATCCGGTACTTCCCCACCCAGGCCCTCAACTTCGCCTTCAAGGATAAGTACAAGCAGATCTTTCTGGGCGGCGTGGACAAGCGAACCCAGTTCTGGCGGTACTTCGCCGGTAACCTGGCGTCCGGCGGGGCCGCCGGCGCTACCTCCCTGTGCTTCGTCTACCCCCTTGACTTTGCCCGAACCCGCCTGGCAGCAGATGTGGGTAAAGCCGGTGCTGACCGGGAGTTCAAGGGGCTCGGTGACTGCCTGGTCAAAATCTTCCGGTCGGATGGCCTCAGGGGCCTGTACCAGGGCTTTAATGTCTCTGTCCAGGGCATCATCATCTACAGAGCTGCCTACTTTGGCATCTACGACACCGCAAAGGGTAGGTTGACCAAAATGGCACTAAAAGGGAGATGCTGGGCTGCGGCAGGCCTGTAGTGCGTTTCGGCAGATGCTGGTGGCTCACCTGCCGTTCTCATCAAAACCTCTCTCCCACAGGCATGCTTCCGGACCCAAAGAACACCCACATCGTTGTCAGCTGGATGATCGCTCAGACGGTCACTGCTGTCGCCGGTTTGACCTCCTACCCTTTTGATACAGTTCGTCGTCGCATGATGATGCAGTCTGGCCGTAAAGGAAGTAAGTTTCTACCTCCTTGGGTAGGAAGTATCTGGCGTCCCTGAATCAACAGTTGGTGGTGGAGCTGAGGTGAAGGCAGAGTGGCTTGGCTTTCACCAAGCCATGTAGATATTCTCACCTCTTGCAAACAGCAGGGTGTGAGAGGGGCTGCAGAAGCGGATGTCAGGTGGGGGGCACAGATGCAGCACGCCTGTAAGGTGGTGTGCACAAGTCGGGTATCTGTCAGTAGGTAGGAACAGCAGAACTTGCCCAAGGATGTTGCAAACTAGTGTCTCTGGGGCAAGAGGAGACATCCCTGGTAGCAGGCACAGCCTTGCTGGCTGTGCAATAGCTTTTGGGTCTGGAAGCGTTGGTGTCAAAGCAAACAGCAGCTGCCTTCTGCTCGAACCGGTCCTTCCAGTGTCTCCTAGGGGTAACACAGCAGCAGTGTATCTCCTGGGCGATCTTGTCCTCTGATGCACTAATACTGGGGAAAGTCAAGAAATGGGATGCACTTGAGGTTATGAAGCTGGCAGATATGTTAGGCCATTTCTGACCTGGATGCCGGGGGTCACAGGTGTCTGATTCCTAACGCTGTCTGTCTCCCGCAGCTGACATAATGTACACTGGCACTATTGACTGCTGGCGGAAGATTGCCCGGGACGAGGGCTCCAGGGCGTTTTTCAAAGGTGCATGGTCGAATGTACTCCGAGGAATGGGTGGTGCTTTTGTCTTAGTCCTGTATGACGAAATTAAGAAGTACACATAAGTTATTTCCTATTGTGAACTGGCATGTTGTTATATGTAGTCTGTGACCGCTCATGGACTTGTTTGAAAACCGTCTAGTTACTACACAGCGACGGTTGCTGTTTATACAGGTTGGCATGGGGCAGGGGCAACTGCCTGCCCTGTCTTTCTCAAGTTTTTCCCCCTGATGGGACTCACCATGGTTTCTATTTCAGTCACTCCTGCTTAAAGAGTACAAAGAAATAAAAATCTGAAACCAACGTTCCTTGTCTCATGTTTGTTCTTGCTGCAGCGTGAGGGGGGTGGGGGGTCTCTGCAGTGATTGTAGAGAAGGAGGAAAGACGAACCACCTCCATCCTGCACACCTTGCTACCTGCTAACTACCTGTGGCCTCTGGCAGGGAAACACGGTGCAGGCTGCTGAGGAAGCTGTGTGGTGTTTCCTCCCCAGCGGTGTGGGCTGGAACAGGGACTGGCAGCTCTGAAGGTCTCACCCAGCCGGAGACCCTGGTAACCAGAGATGATGCAGTGGCTGTGTGCCACCAGTCCTGGCTCTGGCCTGTCTGCTCTCCAGAGCTGATGAAACCTTGTTTTGAAAGTGCCAAGTGCCTAAACCTTCTGCAAAGCACAGCCCTCCCCATGGCGCTGAATGCCTGGGAGGCTGGAGAAATGTCTAAGGGGTACTTGCCGCTGTCTGGAGGAGCGGAGCTTAGAAACTCTGGCTTAGAAACTGAGCTCCCTACTCGGGCATGTTAAAACCCAGCCAGGGAACATAAGTACAGGTAATTGCTGCTTTTCTGTAGAGCCCCTGGCTAGCCTTGCCCTCGCATGAGCTGTTGTGCTGTGGGATGTAGTAGCTGAGCAGAGACAGCTCCAGTGCCAGGGCTGTGCTCGCCAGGCAGGGAGCCCCATCCCCAGGCTCATCCCTTATCCCTGGAAGCTAAGTTTGTCCCAGCCCCAAATTCTGGGGGGAGGGTGAAATTCCTTCATGCTTGCTGGGGTAATTTGGGGAAAACGCTGCAAGACTGGGCAATGCGTGTGGCTTGGCCTTTACCTAGGCATCTCTGTGGGTCTGTGAGCCGCCCCACTGAAGCTGCCTGGTTTCTGCCAGGGGAGCTGGGGGGGTGGGTGGATGCTCTCCTGGTCCTCTGCCCTTCAGATCAGCGAGTCTTTCCTCACTGCCCCCACGCCTTTGGTCCTTTCTGGCTGCCCAGGCCTGCTCAAAGCAGTTGATCTCAATCACTGAAACCAATCTCAACCACTGTCCGAGACAGAGAAGCAAGGCCTTGTGTTGCAAAGGGCGGTAGTTGGTTTTATTGCTGAAATCGAAGCGGGGCAGCTGGCCATGAGAGTGCAGCACCGTCCCACCGCAGACAGCATCGGCGTGCTTGGGTGCCTGCAAATGGGCGTGTGGTTCATGATGGTTCTGACACATGATACAAATAGATGGTCTCATGCCACGCTGTTGAGCCAAGAGCTTTTGCTGGTGATTTTCAACTGCCCCTGGGCTCCTGCGGTGTGAGATCCCCCGCTGCCTGCCGTGGAAACAAAATGGGCTGAAAGTTTCCCCGTGAGACGCGGAGCAGTGCCACAAGTGGTGGGCAGCATGCTGGGGGGAGCAGGCAGCAGCCTGGCAGGGGGCTGCACCATGGGGCAGCCTTACAGGGAGCCCTCTCCTGCTGCACAAATGCAAGCTAATTAATTAAGGGCTCTCAGCTCTTATTGCTTCCCGCTGCTGAGCTCTCCTGGATTTCAAGGGCTGTCCTGAAATGCTGCTGGTTGCTGAGCGTGGGGCATCCTTTCCTCTCCTTTCCTTCGCAGGGGATGCGTGGCTGGGCTGTTAGCACAAGGAGGTAGGTGCATCGTTTCTTCCTCCACACAGTGGTGGGTGATCAAGGCGCTGTGCTGGCCTGCAAACGAGCTCGCTGGGGGACCTGTACGTCCTTAGACCGACAGCATTTCGCGCTGGGCTTGAGGTGCAGGGCTGGCACCGAGTGAAATGGGTTGTAGCTACCCATGCTAGTTACTGCCTTTGGGACTCAGGAAACAAGCACGAGTTTCACAGCTTTATTTAGCTCTGGTGCAAGGGAGACGCGGGGCAGAGCCCACCGGTGGGTTTTCCCTGCGCTCTGCTGCCGGCGAGCGCGGGCTGGCAGCTCCTCTGGCCTGGGACCCCCTGGGGATTTGACCTCCCCTCCCGGCAGCAACCATGGGAGCAGCTTTAGCTGGGGAAGCAGGTTGGGGGGTTCAGCTGCTGCTTTTGCCTGCCACAGGAGCACGTTAGAGAGGGATTAAAAGCTTTGGTTTTGCAGGGAAGCTGAGGCACGGGAAAGTGTCTGGGGCCAGCCCGTGGCAAGGCAGCGAGCTGAGTGCAGTTCCTCCAACACAAGTGTTTCGTCCACCAGACTGTGCTGCCCCAAGGACGGCAGGGGCAGGGGTGGATTTTCCTTTTAAACGCGATTCTCTTGTGGGGAATACCGAACATCTCGTAAGTCACGATTTCCTCCACGGGAGCCGTGCCCAGCCCAGCGTGTCGGCCCCTTTGCTGGTGGGCAGGAGTGGGCGAGTGCCTGTAACGCCGCTTTCATCTCGGCCCCTCGCCCGGCGGCCGTAAATCCCAGGATTAGGAGCTGTTGACACAGCATGGCTGCGCACGGGATGGCATGAAACACTTGTCAGTGGCTGGGGCAGGTGGCGAGTGGTGCCGGATATTT